ACTGAATGGGTGCTTGTCACAGGGTGGCTGGTTCATTAAGGGAGATGGGCCTCAGTCCACCTGCGACAGGCTTAACTCACCTCCTCAGGTGGGGAGAATGAAGGTCAGGTGACCAAATCAGGTTTCTTGTAAAGGAGAGGCCTGAGGCGCTGCTAACACTCCAGCATAGAGTGTCAGACATGACAGACTCCTGGGAGGCTGTAGCTGGCTGAGGAAGCAGCTGCAGGCAGTAAAGGGACAGTGTGAACGATAACCCAATACTGGAAAGGTGGGCTGGGGACTCCTGACGCAAGGTCAGGAAACTGTTTGAACTCTGGAACCAATGGCCAGCTGGGGCTGTGGGGTATTGTGTGTATAGACTGAATAGGATGGATCCCCTCAGAAGAGTTCTATTTTAAAAGGATATGGACTGGGTGGGTTAGTGGGGAGCCTTGTGAGAGAGGGAAACTGAGGCAGAATGCTGCAAAGCCACCCCAGGCTGTGTGTGTGCGCTGAGGTGGCAGCTATCCTGGCACAATGTTTTTGTAGGAGTGTCCCATTCACCAGGACTGGCGTGTCCCTGAAATATTTGGGAGAGTCCTAGCTGTTCAAGGGACTATGGAGTTAGCTGTGGAGCAAGGCTAAGCCTGCAGTGACTCCTTTAGCTTTGAATGTGGCTAGAACAATTGTCACATTATTATACACTATCATGTTGAAAAGGCTCCTAACTTGGTCAACCCAAGTCAGTTTTCTCAGGAACTCTTCAAAGCACGTCTCCTCGGGGAGGCTATTTTACTCCTGGCATTTTAGCACGAGACCTGTTATTTTTTTTTTAAAAGAGACTTTTGTTGCTGGAGATGTAAGTGGGAAATTAATTATGTTTTTCTCTTCTCCTTGTTGGCCTACAAACTTTTCCAGAATAGTTCACTTTGGGACAGAGATGAGGTTTGGAAAAGTACCTCCCCTAAGACAGAACTTTTGGAGAGTTCTGACGAAAGCAAGGCATCAGAATGGAAACATTTATATACAGCCTCTGCGACAGGGCTTTCTGCCATACTCCACCTGCCCCACAGAGCTGGGGCACAACTTGATCAAATTGTATTTGTCATGCACTCTGAGAGCCATACTTGAAAGTCACCAGTCACTGTGCAATATGGTGACCAGATGTCCCAATTTTATAGGGATAGTACCAATATTTGGGGCTTTGTCTTATATAGGTACCTATTAACCCTCGCCCTGATTTTTCACACTTGCTATCTGGTCACCCTACCGTGCAATTGCCTGGAGGGCCAGCATGACCTGATCCCCACAGAAAAAAGGGGGATGAAGGAGGAAGAAAAAGGGAAGCAGAGAGAAGGTAGAAGTAGTTATAAAAGGGGCATATCAGTATTTAATTTATCATCATCTACACCGAAATCTTTTGTCCTATTTCCCCATAAATTCTCTTATGTCTCAGGCAAGTCCTCACTTTACTCAGCCTGTGCCCATGCTCACAAGGTAATTGCCTCTCCTGTCCATTTCTGGTGCTTGCTTGCCCCTTGGTTTTCCTCCAACATCCCAGTGTCTTCTTAGGTGTTACCTCTTCTCCTCCCCTCTGGAATGAGCTGGGTCTGGTTTATATAGTCCCCAGACCCCTCCCACTCGCAGCAGCCTTCAAGAGGACTAGATAACTGGAGTCAACTGCTCAGGTTTTTTTCTCTCCCCCATGACAGTTCACTCTGCCACAGCACCAGATCAGTCAAACATATTGCTATCACGGATCAGTCTATTTATCTCCTGTCATAGTCCAAGGTGGGACAGAGCTGCAGGCTGCCAGCTCATTCTGTTGCATCATTGAGTGTCTTCCTCATGTAAGCCCAGGACTCAGTCTGGAGAGCTCCCTGCCATTTCTACGAGAGTGGCAGATATTTGGTGCCAAAAAGGATCAAGTCTTGCCAAAAGAGATTTTGCCATTTTATAAATTCAGTTGTTTCATCATGAGAGATGAACATTCTGTTGGACAGTATGGGTGAAGTCCTGGTCCCATTGACTTCAATGGAGAGAGAATTTCACCCCACGTGCATAGTCAGTATACCGTGTTTATTTGTCCTTCACAGTGATTTCATCGAAAGCTTCAGAAGATCCTACTTTTGAGAAAAACCATGAGGCCTGGAAATTTTTTGAAGGTAAAGATAACGTTAAATGTATCATTTGTTTACATGCAGTTTCTCATTAAGACGCTGGCTGTAGTTATATTGTGGTAGCAACCAAGAGCCCTGTTTGGGGTCAGAGCCCCATTGTGCTAAGGGCTGTACAAAGCCTGGCTGCTCCCAGAGTGCTTATCGTGAATTACTTAGATTTTCTGAAAGCCTTTGACAAGATCCTTCACCAAAGGCTCTTAAGCAAAATAAGCTGTCATGGCATAAGAGGGAAGGTCCTCATGGATTGGTAACTGGTTAAAAGATAGGAAACAAAAGGCAGGAATAAACTGTCAGTTTTCAGAATGGAGAGAGGTAAATAGTGGTGTCCCTCAGGGTCTGTACTGGGCCCAGTCCTATTCAACATATTCAAAAATGATCTGGAAAAAGGGGTAAACAGTGAGGTAGCAAAATTTTCAGAGGATACAAAACTACTCAAGATAATTACGTCCCAGGCAGACTGAGAAGAGCTACAAAAGGATCTCTCAAAATTGGGTGACTGGGCAACAAAATGGCAGATGAAGTTCAATGGTGATAAATGCAAAGTAAACTAAACTAAATTAGCTGTTACCACTCAAGAAAGATCTTGGAGTCATTGTGGATAGTTCTCTGAAAACATCCACTCAACATGCAGCGGTCAACAAAAAAGCAAACAGAATGATGGGAATCATAAAGAAAGGGATAGATAATAAGACAGAAAATATGGTATTGCCTCTCTATAAATCCAGGGTATGCCCACATCTTGAATACTGCATACGGATGTAGTCATCCCATCTCAAAAAAGATATACTGGGATTGGAAAAGGTTCAGAAAAGGGCAACAAAAATTATTAGGGGTATGGAACGGCTGCCATATGAGGAGAGATTAAAAAGACTGGACTTTTCAGCTTGGAAAAGAGATAACTAAGGGGGAATATGATAGAGGTCTATAAAAATCAGGATTGGTGTAGAGACAGTGAATAAGAAAGTGTTCTTTACCCCTTCTCAGAACACAAGAACTAGGGGTCACTAAATGAAATGAATAGTCAGCAGATTTAAAACCAACAAAAGAAAGTATTTTTTCACACAATGCACAGTCAACCTGCGGAACTCCTTGCCAGAGGATGTTGTGAAGGCCAAGACTATAACAAGGGTCAAAAAAGAACGAGAAGTTCATGGAGGCTAGGTCCATCCATGGCTATTAGCCAGCATAGGCAGGGATGGTGTCCCTAGCCTCTATTTGTCAGAGGGTGGAGATGGATGGTAGGAGAGAGATCACTTGATGATTACCTGTTCTGTTCATTCCCTCTGGAGCACCTGGCATTGGCCACTGTTGGAAGACAGGATACTGGGCTAGATGGACTTTTGGTGTGACCCACTATGGCCATTCTTATGTTACAGAGTGTGGGAAACCAGAGAGGGAAAGGTCTCTACTTCACCAAGTTCTCATATGACTGGGTTCTCTTTTTAAGACCATTAGGGAACTAATTTGTATCTGGCCTGTAGGCAAGACTGCCATGCAAACAGAACTCAATCCAGCCTGGTGCTGATCACCTCTTAAGACATTCCAAGCTTCCTCATCTTCCAGTGACTTCAGTGGAGGCTGGCTGAGTGAGTTTAACACTTCCGGGACATGCAACGGTACACTATAGTAACAACCCAAGCAAATGATGCCTGGTCTGTTGCATGACAACCTTTCTAGCCCTAAGCAAAGAACCTTTCTAGCCCTAAGCAAAAACCTGTTCAGTGCAATCAGTTTGTTCAGGACCTGGCATGCCATTACACAGTTAGTTCTGCAAATGTGGGGGCATGTGAACCTCAACCCCTACATTTTTAGAAGTCTGGCCTGCAGCCTTCATATATCACTTTGCCACAGTGTGTGTCTTTGGCACTTTGCTCTTGCTCCAGAAGAACACTGATTGCAGCGACACCCCCCATGTCGGGTTCTTGGACTGCACTTGTACCTGATAATACCACACCTATGGTGAGATGATCCACCGGCTGGTTATTTCTAGTGCCCATTATAAAGCAAATACCAAGTAGAGTACTTAAGGCAGACTGGTGAGTAACCATAGTGGTACTGGGATCAATCAACCTTTTTCCAATGCATGCCAGTCCAGATTAAGTGACAGGTGTTGCAAATGTTCACAGCTATTCTGGGTATGTGTCTGCTCAGTTGCTGCTATATTTGACAATGTACAAAGGTTCCACTTGGGAGATTTGTTACATTCTTTAAAACACAGTTTACAAAACATACAACTGTCCTGGGCAGAGGGAGTATGGACTGGTGAGTAGAGCAGAGGGCGACCAGTCAGGATTCTGTTCCCACCTCTGCCACTTTCTACAAGTCACTTGAACACTCTGACTCAGTTTCCCCTCTGCAAAACAGAGGTAAAACTGGCCTACCTCACCGGGGCATTGAAGGCAATTAGTGTGTGTAAAGCGTCCTTCAATAAAATGGGCTATGTACATTGTTATATGAAAGGCAGGAACAAGAAGAAGCATGAGGCCCTATTTTAGAAGGCAGGAGTTTTCAAAAGTGCTCCATGTTGGCCAAAATCTGTGATGCTCAAATTCTCACTGACTTCAATGGGAGCAGATTTAGGCCAACGGTGGGTACATTTGAGACCCCCAGCCTAATTGTCTTGCTCAGTTTAAAGGTTGGGGGTAAGATTGTGAGAGACAGGTAAGTGCCTAAATCCTATAGACTTTCAATCTATGTGACTTAGACACCTCTGAAAATGTTACCCTATGCTATGAGGCAGGGCCTGTTTATTTCTGTCTTGCACAGAGGTGATCCTTTTTCCTGTGTTAAATGTTAATCATATCAAGAGCCAGGCTGAGTAATTCTCTGCTTGCCTTTCAGACCTGTATGTATATGCAGTGTTTGTGTGCTCCATTGGCATCATCAGCGTCCTCCTTTTTACACTTGTCATTCTCTGCCAGTCGCTGCTGAACAAGAAAAAATCCAGAGGTGAGTGACAGACAAGCGTCAGCCCATTGGCACGAGGGGATTGGATTGTAGAAGAGAACAAAAACATGAGAAGGCGGCAGATGATGCAGAGGGAGGAGACAAAAAAAAAATAACCAGCTTTCCTTGAAGTTACAAATACAGTCCTCCAGCTTCAAAGGTGGGGGAAAAAATCCAATTTATTTTCTGCCAAAATTTTGAACAATTTGTACTGACATTTTTCAGGGAATAATTTAGATTTAAAAAATTATATCAAAAAGAAAAGCCATTTTAATTTTGCTTGGCACTGAAATTTGCTTCACTTTGGTTTTCAGAACAAAATGAATGTTTTCATTTTTTCCATCAAAACCCCCCTGAATTTTGTTGAATCAGACTTCTTGCAAAATATTGAGACTTAAACTGTCCCCCTCCCCCCCACTCCATTTTAACTAAAAATGTGACCAGCGCTAGTTAACATCTAGGTTAAAAAAACCCTTTGTTTGAAGAGATGTGTGCAGAGGGTGTGTCGGGGGGGGGGGGGAGGGGAAAGGGGGGGAGAAACAGACTTGCCCTAGGTCTGTAAATTGTATAGACAGGGCTGTACTGCCTGCTTGTCCAGAGAAAGCAGACCAGTCTCTCCCCTCAGGATCTAGCCCCACCACTCACTTGGTGGCAGTGGGCAGAGGCTAGCTCCCCTTTTGTTTTCCCAGTTATTACCTCAGACTTCTACTCCATACTCTTAGAAATAGGAGACATCACCAATGTTAATACTACTGCCACCACCAAAGGATCACTCTGTCCTGAAGGCTGTTTAGTATCAGCAAGTGTGAGGAAGAAGTGATCTTTCAAGACATAAGCTAATACTTTTGTAATTCACGTAAAACAAAAACTTATACAAAATATTCTATACCGAAGTAGAATTGTGGCCTCTCATAGATCAGAGTGTGTTGAATCATAGAAATATAAAGGTGGAAGGGACTTCAGTCATTTAGCCTATTTCCTTGCAGATATAATGCTACTTATTATATCTTCTAGGAGGGGGTGTTAAAATATTCACTAAACTTGCTGTTAAGGAGTTCCTTCATCTGTTGCTATTGACTTTAAGCTGTGCTTGGATAAGGCCCACTGACTTCAGTGAGCAGGTTGGTGATCTGCACCTCTGAGGATCTGCCATATCAGATGACACATTTGGTCTATTGAGTTCTGTATCCTGCCTCTGGTACATGTGAATCTCTAATGCATGAGAAGGTGAACCCCAGCAATAATGCCCTTCTAAGCGGAATAAACTTTGAGTCTTTCCGGGAGCAATTGCATTAGCAGAGTCAAAATGTTCTGACTTTTGAAGGACTATATTTTTCAAAAATACAAGTAGTGGTAGAAAAGAAACCTTGAAAAGTGCTAGCAATTTTTCATCAACTGGCTCTAGAACTGGTTGGGGTTTTCAATTTTTGGAAAAAAAAAATTTAATCTCACTGAAATTTGAAAAAAACCCAAAACCAGTTAAATTAACAAATTCTCACAAAATAATTTTTTTTAAATCAGTTGTGCTTAGAAATAGGGCTGGGTAAATAATGGCTTTTTGGTTCATTGGCAGTTTGGAAAAAAAAGTTGAAAAAAGGTTTGTTTTTGGTTCAACCCCAAACTTTTTTTTTTAATTTCAGCAAATCAAAGAGCTAGTCTGAACAAAATGTTTATTTGCCAAAATTTTTTTGACCAGCTCTACTTAAAGGCATTGTTCTAAGCTGCGACTTTGTGGCTGTACGTGTTATGTTCGTGTTTAAAGTGCAGCTGTTACTTGAAAAGTGAAATGACTGGGCATTTAGTGAGAAGCTTGAACCTGCCCAAAATCCTGGTTATGTTGAGATCTGGACCCAGACTCTGTTTTATACTTATTCTCTCTCAGTGGGATCTATGTCAGATTTACTGTAAGTGAAAAGAGTAGTTTTCCAGCTGCCAGTCTTGCAAACTACCTGGAGATCTGAAAGCCCAGCTATGAAATGCCTCTCACGTCATCCCCATTAAGAGACAGAGAGGCCCTAAAATGGGAACTTAGCTAGTGATTTTCTCTGTGGTGCATTAGACAGAAGAGAATCCATCTTGTTATCTTGTGCTGGCTCTTGAGGACTAATATGTTTGTGTCAGTAAGGAAGGCTCTCATGATTCAAAGATACACACAGAACAGACATGTCGGGGAAAAGAGGGATAATTTATACAGGTAATCTTGTCTGACCATAAGCACATTTCAAGCCGGGGCTGCCTTTTACAGGTGGAGCACCTAACCAAGTTGCTTTGCTTCTGATTGATAGTTTCACAGAGTTTGAGGCCTGAATGGACCATGAGATCAACTAGTTGGACCTCTCTATACCACAGGCCGTTACATTTCACTCAGCTACTCCTGTGCTGAGCCCAAAGATCCTACTCCGACAAAAGCATTTTAATCCTCAGAAGACTACACTGGGTGCCACAGGCAGAGAACAGGAGAGAGACTGAGGTGCCACCAGTACCCAAATCGATCTGATTTCATAGGAATAGCAACCAAAAGAAACACACAGTACTTTTCCTACCACTTCAGAGTGTAGAAGAATCTCTGTGCCAAGACAGCAACAAAACACTAACTTAAATGTTTTGTACAATGAGTCACATGGATAAGACACACTAATTTATTCTGGCCGATCTTCAAGAGACATCTGGGAAGATTTTGCTCCCAATTCTGTTTATGGACACTGGGGTAACTGAATGAGCAGCCTCGAGAAAAGCCCTCTCTTGAGCTAGCGCTAATGTAGGGTGGGTCCTGGCCCGTGTAATTCCTTCTGTGTGTGTGAAAGCTGTCTTTCCTAGGCTGCCCTAGAATTAAATGAATGGCAGGCTGAATTCAACTTTTATTTAAATCTTGACCATCACCAAGCAAGAAGTGCCAACATTATGATTCTGTATTGGATGGGTGAACCTTACCTGGGAGAGGCTCTCAGTATGCTACATGTTGATAATTGGCAATACTGTTAGGGCAAGTGTCTGCTCAGACCAGCGCCCCATGAATATGTATTCTCCTAAGTCCACATTGAGGAGTCACTTTTGGCTTTGTCTCTAGCCCTAGAGCAGAGCCGGAACCAGCCTGCCTCTGAGAATCACAGCTTGGTCCCTTGCTCGGTGGGGATCTAGTCTGCACCACCACTATGCCCAGCCCAGATTAATCCCCCTGGTGGGCTGGCTCAACTGAGGTGGGAGTGGGGCAGGGCACAACCCAGCCACTCCCTGCCAACCTGCACAGGAGCAGCAATGCCATGGAAGCTCCTTTCCCTACTCACGGTGTGACACAGGTAGCAAGCACAGGGGAGTGAGGGGCTCCTTACATCCCCTGCATAGGCAAGTACCACGAGTCACATTCTGGCTCCTTCCCATTGAATCTCAAATCTGCCTTTTCTCATTCAACAGCTTCCCTCTCCCTTTGACATTCACATGCAGAACATAACACCAAGAGCCAACTTTAATTGGCTTCCCCAGCTCCCCCAATAATACCCAGTGATATGATCTGCTTACCTTCTCTGGGTCCTTGTGCTCCACACGTCAGCTTCCCCTTCTGGGACAGGCTTCTTCATGATGGGCCCTTCCAGCCAAATCGTGCAGCCCAGCCCATCTTCCAGCTGGGAACAAACAGAAAGGCCAACAAAATAGTCATGCAGCAATATCACTCTGTGTCTTCAGCCAGGATTCAGGCTCAATAATCCTGCCATCCCACATCTCAGGGCTGTCACACCTCCTTCCTCTGGGACCTTGTAGGGGGTCCCAGACCCTCCCTTCCTCTACTGTAGGTCCCAGTCCAGGGACCCAACTGCAGCAAAGAAGATCCAAGTGCTCTGGCTCCTTGCTTCACTTCCCTGGACTACTGCCTACCTTGGCCTGTCTCATAGCTTTTCCTGTAACCCTTTCCTGGACAGTCAGTCAGTCAGTCTCCTAAACCCACTATGGGTGGTCCAGCCCATGCCAGATTCTCTGTCTTTTCCCCAGCCCCTTAGCTGATTCACCCACTAGCTTCCTGCAGGCCTTTTATACCTGACTTTGGAGAGCCCTTCCTTGCTCCTATCATCACTCAGGCACCTGTTGAGCTCATGCTTCTTCTTATAGGAGCCTCACACCCAGGCTACCATGTCATGATCACCTGACCCAACCCAAGTCCATCACCTGGCAGGTGGATAAATAGCCAAAGGTGAGGCTGACCCCAACTCCCTTAAAGGTCCAGTCCACCTTGTAATAATGAGCAACTCATATAATGATGTACAGCAGGTGAAACAGTAGATGTCTGTGGTGTCAGTGTGAAAAACCTGACCAAAGTTGTGGTTAGCTTCACGGCACTAATGTGAAAACGTGTAAGACTGGGGCTAATTCATCACAGGTTTAACTCACTGAATTCCGTGGAGTTGTGTCACAGAGGAAATTGGCCCATCACGCAGAGTAGCAACTTGTGCAGTTCAAAAGCCCTGTGTGTCTCTAGTAAAGACTGAAGTCCACTCTCTAATCACAGGACAAGTAACAATGGTTTAGACTTTTCCAGATAACCCCTGGATATGAAGCGCTGAATGATCTCCTCTAGGCCACTAAACTCTCATCTGGAGCTGGTGAAAAATTTTCCTCAAAACTGTTTTTTGAGTGACTGCTTTCCTCAAAATATTTCAACATTTCACTAAAAATCTGAATACCTGATAACCATAACATTTTTGGTTTTCAACCAAAACCCAAAATATTTTGGCCAAAAACTGAAATATTTCATTCAAAATGCTGCCACAGTGCCTTCATTGGAGTTGTACTTTTGATGCCTTATGCCTCCCATTCTTCTCAATTGGCTGGGTTTCCATACCAGACTTCATCTCCCATGAGGCACCATGGCCAGGGAATCCTATGATGCACCCCTCCCTTCACCAAAAGGGAGGAAAATAATGCTTAATGGAAGATGTAGTCAGTCAAAGAGCCTGGCCCATACAGGAGAATGGGGGCATAAGACACCTAAACTATAACTCCCATGAGGCACTGAGGAGCCATTTTGAACGACAATATTTTGGGTATTGGCTGAAATATTTCAGTTTTTGATATTTTGCTGAAAAGTCCAACATTTTGTGTGGGGAAAAATTCTGTTTCCTGACCAGTTCTACTTATATCACGTCAGCCACCAAACAGCTGCCAAGTAGTAACAACGTTTGATGACCACGTACCTGAACTAGATTAGACTTGGGGACCTAGCTGTAGTTTAGCAAGACCATCCCTTGAGTCATCAGCTTTCCTTTTAGTGCTAAAATGCAGTCCTTCAGGACAGGTAACCATTTTTTCCCCAAATGGGTGAAGCATTGTGGGGCCTAACATAAACAAAGATATGCCCACACACCCTGATCAGAGATGTGGGCTAGACTGGGCCCCAGTCTTACACAGCCATTCAGGGGATCTGGGGGAATATGCCACATAAGACCAGGCATCCTGGCTCAGGGCATGGGGAAGAGAATGGGAGCTATATGCCCAACCTTCCCCCCTGCAAGTGGGCAAGGCAAGTCAGAGCTCCACATGGCAGCCAGCAGAGCTTGCCCCACAGAAGGGTGTCAATGAGGCAATATCTCCTCAGTCCCTCCTCAAGGGCGGGGGCACACCACTGGCTCAGGGCTGAAAGAGGGATTGGATCACAAAGACACCCAGAGTTAGAATAGTTAATGCTAAAAAAAATTGTTTTGTAAGTGATATAAAGCCTCATGCTTCAGGGCCTTAGCCAGTCTGATGATACCTTCCCGGGTGGCAGATCATCCCACATCTGCTATTGTGGGGTTCTTACACCAGCTACTGCAGCAGCTGGTGCTGAGCACTGGCAGGGACAAGATATTGGCCTTTGGTGCTGATCCCATCTGGCAATGCCTCTGTGCCTAAAGCCACGACCTAGCCGTATGTTAAGAACTCAATCAGCTCCTGTGGGCGGACGGTTTATTTTTTACTTCAGGTTTTCAGAAACATACATTTTTTAAAAAGGAAGTTTGGGGACAGAATGCAGAACTGAAGCACCAGGAGAGAATCAAAAGCTTTTAAGACAGATACTCAGCCTTTAGTGGCTCTCCTTAGCCTGCTCTCCCTTGCCTGGGCTAACCACTGGAATTTGTGCAGCCCTGCAATTCCTAGCTTTGTTTGCTACATTCTTTCTCCGTGGCCTTACAATCTTATTCAAGTTACAATATGTTCTAATTTGCAGCATAATGCATGGTTATAGCTAGCAGCTTTCTGGTGGTAAAAAGTTGGCATCTATACCGTTCCAGGAGTGGCTATGCTAGGACCTATCTGCTGTGTCTCTTTGTAGCGCATAAATCCTGGATATGTGAAGCCACATTTCTTTATTTATTGCTGTTGTTTTTTTCTTTAACAGTGAAGCATTATCTGGTGAAAAGTCCCCAGAACAGGTAATGAGGATGCACTTCTGTTTATTATAAGCTGTTGTACCAATCTTGTTTTATTTTCACTGGGGCTCCAGAAAAGATGCGTAAAATTTCAGAATGTGCCTAAGCGAAAGTCAGTGGGACTTAGGCTCCTAAATCTCTTAGGCACATTTGAAAATCTTACCCAATGTCTTTTGCATGGGTTGTGTGTAACGCACCCAGCATTCTGTCATGCATTGTATAGATAATAAATAATGGTGGTGAAGATGGTGACATGACTACGTCCATTCTCAGACATATATTGGATGAAATCCAGCTCTGGATTTCATGCATCTCAAAGATCAGCTGTTCTCATCTCTAGCACAGAATGCACAGCAAAGGTACACAAACATAGTTGTCTCCTGCCTTTGACTCCTTCAGCAAGATCCCATTGTGCAAGTGAAACTTTACTGAAAGCAGAAACTTAGCCCAGCGGCAATCAAAGACACACAGGCCAGAGGCCAGTACTGTTACCATGGACAACTTAGAAAAGCCCATCATAGTCTGTATGGTTATAAAAGTCAGTGAATCACTGAGACAGACAGAGTGGTAGAAACTGGACATGCTTAGATGAAAAGAACTCTGCAAGGGTCTGCAAGTCGCCTGGAAGGGTCATGGGATGACATGACAATGAGTGGAATGCTTATTGAAGTGGGAGGGAATGTTTATAGCTGAACTCACTGAAATGTGTTTTGATTGGTTAATGTTAATGGCCGAGGTCACGGCCTCCTTTGGGACATTGTTTATTTGAGAGACACTGACTGAGACAAGGGAACAATGGGGGTGGGTGGATTGGAAGGGGAGAGCCCCTGGTTGAAGCTGGGTAAAGTCAGTGTGGTATGCTGGGGGTGAACACAATCCCTCAACTCTGGATTGCAGGAGGATGTCCTCTAGGAGATGGAACAGAGACTGCATCCTGATATTCCTGTTTGTGTCTGCCACAAGTACACCATGCCTAGGGCCACAGGCATGAACTTCCAAAACAAATTATCAGGGGCTGGGTCTCCCAATCAGAGAGCAATATAGGCTTATTCCAGCATGGGCTCTCACTGCTGGTGGTCAGCCAGCGTGCTACCAGATGGTAATGCCACCAGCTAGCTATGGTATTTCCTTCCTGTCCACTAGAGGACAACATCACCATGTATTTCCTCCCCCTTAAGAAAGCACTTAATCCCCAGTGCATAAAGACTCTGAGCTGTCCCAGCAGAAGGGCTGCTTGGCATGGGCACAATTCCATTCTAGACATCAGAAGGGAGAGAGAAGGCATGAAATGGATGCCGGTGTGACCAGACCATCGGTCCTTGCTGGGATTTGAACCATCAACCTTGCTGGAGTGAAAACTGGAAAAATCTGTATGGCCTCTGTGGCACCACACGTGACGTGTTTGTGTGCAGCAGTTGGTTTGTTAACAGTTTAACAACATGTAACAGTCAGCACTGAATTTAAAAAAGGAGAGCTGGGATCTTACAGGTCTTCCCCTTGGGAGAGCAGGGGCAGGACTTGTGCGCAGATAACTTTACTGCTCCTGTAAATATTTGTGCTCTCGTTCCCACCGCAGGGTTCCTAACACCGGGGAGCAGCCCTTGCAATCACAACATTCCTATTCCCATTTACTTTGACCCTCTATGGCAACTGTGACTTTTAGCGTTAGAAACAGGGTGGGATTTTCAGGAGTTATTTAGGAGCTCAAGTCCCATTGATTTGTGCCCCTAAATTTCTGAAGACCTGAGACCTACTTACAACCTCAGATGGGAGTTCATAGAATCATAGAATATCAGAGTTGGAAGGGACCTCAGGAAGTCATCTAGTTATAGTGGTGGTACTCCATTAGTTTCAGTGGAGTTACTCTTGATTTTGCAGCTTTGTAGGGTCATCATAGATTGCGGGAGGGGGGAGGATTCAAAGTGCTTGAGTGACTTAGGAACCTAAGACTCAGAAGTTTCTAAGTCACTTAAGGTCAGATTTTAAAGTTATTTGGCACCAAACACCCATTAATTTCAATGGGAATTAGGCACCTAAATGCCTTTAGAAATCTGGCCCTGTCGGACTAAGATGGAACCATTTCTCATCTAGTCTGAGCTCCGGCACAGCACAGGCCAGCGATTTTTATTAATGATTTGTGCAAACAGCTTAATAACTTGTGGTTGAGCTGGAGCAGATCTCTAAGAAGGATATCCCATCTTTATTTAAAGACTTCTAAGACTGGAGAGAATCCACCAGGTCCCTTGATAAGCTGCTGCTGTGGTTAATTACTTTGCACAGCTGTGAGGGCAGAATTCCAGTTTTCAGATTGTATTAATCACCGATTCCCAACTCTTGAGTTTCCTGAGATATAAATAATACTGGAACTAAAATAAAAACAAAAAATGACAAATGTCATATGACCTGCCAGGCCCAGAAGTGGATGCTTCATATCAGTGCAAAGAAAGCGGAGGTTTGCAGCTTTCCAGTGACATAAAGCATTTGTTTCTAGCTCTTATAGTCTGAACGATGTTGGACCTCAACTCTATCACTAGTCCTTCGGTCTAGTAGTGCTTTTTGGCTCTGGTCCTGGACTAAGTATAGCATATCCCAGATCCTGCCAGTGTAATGTTCAATCCCCTCTAATGGGATAATTATTGCATTCATGCATAGCAACCTACCCTACATTGAGCCCTAAGTGAATTCACAATAAAGCAATTGATAGTTCAAGAAGAGTCAATGCAGCCCAAGGCTTTGATGTTACTCTTGGAATGACCTCTGTTCTGTGACCCTCCCAGTCACGGCAACTGCAGCATGGATTCAGAAGAGGCAGCTCAGCAGTTCCATCTTTCCCTTCATTGATGATTGCCACTTGTTTCTGTTTTGAAAGCAGCTCAGATGAAGCAGGAAGGGGAAAAAATTGAAAAGAGATCAGTGGAGAACACAGTGAAAGGAGAAAATTAAACCACTTGAAAAAGCCCACAAGTGCAAAGAGACAAAAATAAGCGTATGGTAGTTAGATACAAAGCCTTGGTAAGTCAGAGTCTGCCGTCCCACCAGTGCCTGGTGTAGCAGAGATAATATTGTAAAAATCAAATAGGAAACACATATAACTGAACGCTGGAGGGAAGGGAGGAATGGAATCACAGCAAACAAAAACTGTGGGAGGAAACAGGATTAAAATCAGCAAGCAACAGCATTTTTAGTATGATGCCCTGATCTGACAAACACTTACACATATACCCCACTTTAAGCACGTGACTATTCCCATTGACTCCGGTGTTTAAGTGTTTGCCACATCTGGGCCTTAGTTAACGTATAATGTGCATATCATTTTTATTTTCCACCCTATAATCAAGATAATTTCTCTCCTGGAACATGATCATGAATCCCATAGAATCTATCCAATCCATCCAGGAGAGACTGATTGAGAAATACTTGCTAATAAAGTGCCTCAATTCAGCTTGGGACTTGAGCATGCATCTAGGGGTGTGAGAATCCATCGAACCAAACCCCTTGAACCAGTTTACACAAGACTCTTGCAAATCCTAACTATTGCATTGTGTATAGCTGAGATCCTGGTTAGAGACAGATCCAACTCTCCACCCAGCCTTTGGGACGGTTCAGATTTGAACCAAAATCCAGGTCCCAATTGCACAGATAGGGCTAGCAAAGGGACTTGTATGGCCCTGATTATTGTCATATCTGAGCACCTGACCTCACAGTCTTTAATGTGTGTATCTGCACAACACCCCCGTAGGGTAGGACAGTGCTATTAGCCCTATTGTATAGATGGGGAAGTGTGGCACAAACTGATTAAGGCCCAGACCCTCAGAAAAGGTATTTAGGATCCCAATTTCCATTCCAATCAATGGAATGTAGGATCTGGAATATCTTTGAGGATCTGAACTCAAACTTGCCCAAGGTCACTCAAGGAGTCTGTGACAGGGTGGGGAATTGAACTTAGGTTTCCTGAGTCCCACAGTAGCACTCTGAACTCTAAGCCAGCCTTCTTTTCTGAGCCAATACCAAACAGCCAGTCTTCCCCTTGGAAACCCCTCCATCTCACTGCCATTGGGAAAGTGTAGATTCTGCTTCAAATCCACGTGCAAATTTCATGGCTTGGTCCAATCTCTTGTTATCCTGCAGCAGTCTGGAGGAGGGAGAGTACTTGATCAAAGCAAACACAGGAGAAGTGGTGCTTTCTTGACATTAATGTGGATAGTAAAACCCTAAAACTCAGCATGTTGCCAGCTCTCGCAAGAGTCTGAAATTCAGAAACACAGTGCATTGATGCTCTAGGCACCAGCAAAGCAAGCACATGCTTGGAGCGGCACATTTCCAGGGGTGGCATTCCGGCCACCTTTTTTTTTTTTTTTCCGGAAAAATCCACCAATGTACGGAAAAAAAAAATACATGAAGATCAAAAAAATCTCCAGTAGTGTGATAGGAGCGTGACGTGAAAACTATCATGTCACGTCATGACACGGTCACTCATAATGTGAACGTGCGTAAATGTGTAAATGTTAACGGTTATTGATTAATTAAATCAGGAATCACGATTACTTGTGTGTACTGTGCCGCCCTATCGGCGCCATTCAAGCCAATTTCCGTGTCGCGTCGGTGCCAGTGGTTATAGGGCTAAAATTAATTTCAGTTGAAAGTACCATTGCAAAAAATTTAGATTTCGCTGAATTATTAAAAGACCACGCAAGTATAAAAACCAGAAAAATTCAGTTCATGTCAATTCTTTTAATTTATGAGAAACTGGGCACATCCGAAGACACTAACGTTTTTCAGGACAGTGTATAGTTGAACCCAAATTGTTTGTAATTGTGATTTTGTTAAAATTAAATGAGTACACTACTAGGAAATTGTTTTATTTCACTAACTACAAATTCTTTGCTTTCATTTTTTTAAAATTTTAAACAGCCAAAAAACAAAACAAAACAAAAGCATTACAAAGTGCAAACATGTGTAAAAGCCAAAAAAGGGGGGCGCCAAAATTTTTTTTTGCTTGCGGCGGCAAAAAACCTAGAGCCGGCCCTGTTGATGCTCAACATCAATAACAGACCCGCAAATCACTCTCTCTCCCGGTGCTCTAATCTTAAGACAACTTGCATGCCTATTTTTTCCAAATTCCTTGCTGTTCTTTGCTCTCTAAAAGCCCGCTAGATCCTATGAGGAAAGCATAATGTGACCTGAAGTACAAACCAGGAGGTGGGGGTAGCCGTGGGGGGAATCCCAAGATTAAAAAAGAATCTTTCCTTTCAACTCTGGACAAGAGAAGCAAGACAAAGACACAGTGTTTCTGAGCCAAGGAGTCTTTATGAATCTCCTTGTTTAGTTTGAGGACCTAGCTTCTAAGATTGCAAGTGCAATTATTGTATCTTCTGGTGCTAGTTAACCCTGCAGAATCCCTGCATTTATAATTAAAAGGGCAAGCCACAAATAAGTTTCTCAGTGGTTTGTCTTTAAAGTGGCCAAGCAGGAATAATAATGAATGAATTGAATTGACGTTAAGCCCTTTCCGATTGCTGCCCTTAACTGGCCAACATCAGGATAATCATATGTTTAAACCGTATTTATGCTCTAACAACGCTTTCAATGCAGAAGAATTTTAAAACAATCAAATTTCCTTTTCATTATGGTTTGAGCTTTCCTTTTTGGCATTGTGCTCAATTAGTCAAAAAAGGCTGTTCAGTTGCGTTGCCTGTTGTTGTTGGGGGTTTTTAGGTCAGTTTCCCTTTGTGGTTTTCATGCAGTAACAATTTGCTGGTGGTGTTCAGATTCACAATAGTGCAGGGGAACTTTTAAATTGCCCTCAAACTTAGTTTGCATAGCTGAAATTAATTTTCAAAATCACAAAAAAAAAACTGAACATGCACTTTTACAAAAGCGCTTTTTAACATAAACCTACACTTCCGGCTAAATATTCCAACCATGGTGTCCATCAAAAACAGTGAACCAGATTCTGTTCTGAGGGATGCATGTGTAAATCCAAAGTACTTCCGCTGAAGGCAATGGCATTACCCCAGCTTTACAGCTGTTTAAAATGAGAATGTGGCCTGATTTCTGTTACTCTTGAGTGGACGATGTGACTGCCTCTTCATGAAGCTTAGTTGAAAAAGCATTAGGATGAATAGATTTTAGTGTTGTTATTAATTATTATTGTGGTGGCTATGAGCTCCAGTTATGGACCATGACCCCATTGTGCTAGGTGCTGTACAAACAGAACAGACAGACAGTCCCTGACCCAATCAGCTTACATGCCTGAATACTTTCATACATATTCAAACCAGGAAGGACTGCTTTAATCCTGGCCTTCAGAACTGATAATCACGCTGGCAAAGCTAAGAGAACTCTGTGGGACTTATAGGCTGCTGAACCGTAGTGGCCCAACGGCAGAGGTCCTCTTTCTACAGGTGTGTTTATGACATGCCATAGCTATCATAATCCCCCAAACCAACTAGTGCTCAGGAGCACAGACATCCTACAGAACTCTAGGTGCTTCCGTTACAGACTAGGGTCCGATGTTAAGCATGTTTGCTCTTTTTTAAGGCACTTTTTGATCCACTGAAAACTGGGGCCTGCTCATGAGTCACGCTGAGCATCCACAAGTCCTGTTGAAGAAGAGACATTGGGAGGCTCTCAGCCCCATGCTAGGCCCATAATGACGCTAGTTAATGGCTTAAGAGTAAGCACAGAAATTCTTGACCTTACCTGTAGGGGCTGCAGTCATTCTGACACCTTCTGTGACTGCAGGCTCATGTCCCTCCAGATACTGAACCAAATTCTTCTCTCAGTTCCAAAAATTCACAGGGTAGATGGTCCACCGGTTAGAGTGTTAATCAGAGACCTGATGTCAAGACCTCATGTTGCCACAAACTTTCTATCTGACTCGGGCAAGTCACATCGGCCCAGATCCTTCAATTCCCAGATCTTCCAACTGCCTAACTCTCATTTAAATCACTGGGCCTTAGTCTCTGTGTGCCTGTGGTCCCCATGAGACAAACAGCACTTTCCTACCTCCAAGGGGTGGGAGTTTACAAATTGTAACATGTGCAGATACTGTAGTTCTTGGGTCATGTAAGTATCATAGCTAAAGGTACAATTGCCACTGAAATGAACCTGTGTCGAAATCTGGCCATGTGGACACCGTGCACTTCCTGTGGTAGCCAGAGCAGATGAAGCTACAAGTCTATCAACCGTATAGCCTGTGTACTAGACAAGGAGTGGGGCCTGGTGGAGTGGGACATTGTTACAAAGCATTATTAGAGATTTTCAAAATGTTTTGAAGTCAGAATCCAAGTCATTTGCCACGGACCATGAAAACATTTTTTGTTTGTGTGAAAACAATCAGTTGGAACACGTCAGTGCACAGATTTCATTCTTGCCATAACCATCCCCTTTCTCTTCTCTTTGCTTTCCAGCTCAGGGGAGACGGTCACCAGTGTGACAAGTCTGTCCCCGCTACAGCCCAAAAAAGTAAAGAAAAAGAAAGAGAAGGCTGAGCAACCCCCAGCTATCCCAGCGAAAGGTATGAGGCAACTAACGCAGCCCACAGAGCTGTATTTCTGCCAAGGGGTGTGATTGAGCAGGGAGGGCAAGGAGTTGGGAGCCAGGACTCCTGGGTTCTATCTTGGACTCTACCACTCACTGCATGAGCTAGGCCAAATTCATTCATGTCTCCATGCCTGTGATCTCCCACATGACAAATGGGGGCCCTACATACTAGAGTGTTTCCCACGAGTGCTATGATGTGTAACCAATGTTTGTGAAAGGCTTTGGGCCCACATCCTGAAATGTATTTAGATGCCTAACTTGCATTGATAGGCGCTTAAATGCCTTAGAGACTCTGGGCCTTGTAATCCTCACTGGCAAGGCAGTGAAGAGAGGGGTTTTGTTACCTGAGATCTGCTAGGGCATGTCATGCTGTTTAGACCTGTTTATACATCTAGGGCCAGACTGTCAAGTGCTCAGCACCCCGGCAGGGGGCAGGTTTTCAAATGGGCCCAGCTCCCCTCAGCTCCCATTCATTTTCAAAAGAAAATGCACCCAGCATGCTGAACTCCTGCGAAAATCCTGCCTGGGTTGTAGAGACTGAGTGTTTGAAAGTCCAGTCCTCAGGGTCTAATTTTCAAAGTGGGTTTCCAACTCCATACATGCAGGCCACTGTATGTGACTTTCTGAGCACCATTGCCCGTGTCATGCAAGGGGTGCAGTGTGCCTGGGTCTCATGAGTGCGTGAGAGTCATAGCACTCAGAGACGCACAGGCACGTCTCTCTACACACAAACGAGGACCATGCTTTGAAAATTGTGCTCTTTCTATGTTACAGGTTTTAATAACAAATGTGCTTCACACTTCAAGACTTGCATATAGGTTTTTTGCTGCTGTTGCTAACCTGCTATTAATCCAGGTGTATAACTGCTGGTGCACATGCTAAAAGTAATCCCAAATTGCATTATGTGAAGTAATCTCTTGATATTTATTTTTATAGCTCCAATAGCCAATACTTTTCAGAAACCTAAGCTGTTGAAACCTCAAAGAAAAATTATTCTGGTGAGTAGTTATTTTATATAACTTTATTTTCCCCTGTATTTGTTTCTCTCAATATAATTTTGGCAGTATTGCTAACACCCAGTGTTCAGAAAGTTGTGAGATTGGATCAAGAGATCATTTTAACGTCATACACTTTGGATATTTCACCTTTGTCTTCTGGTGCCTGAGCCTTTAGCTTACACTTGGGTCTTGTCAAGCTTTTCTCTGCAATCATAAGGGCTAGAAATGTAATTTTTTTTAAATGAAAGCTGAGATTGACAGGTTTCAGAGTAGCAGTCGTGTTAGTCTGTATTCACAAAAAGAAAAGGAGTACTTGTGGCACCTTAGAGACTAACCAATTTATTTGAGCATAAGCTTTCGTGAGCTGCAGCTCACTCTGATGAAGTGAGCTGCAGCTCACGAAAGCTTATGCTCAAATAAATTGGTTAGTCTCTAAGGTGCCACAAGTACTCCTTTTCTTTTAGCTGAGATTGAGTCTCACATGCCTCCAAGAGTTGGAGCTTTGAGAAAAATACCAGATAACACAAAACTTGATAGATGGCAACGTTGGTTTGAGTGTTTTCCAATACTAAATATAGGGCCTGATTCTGCTCCAAACTGGGGAAATCAGGAGTAACAAAGGTAAGTGACCTTACCCATCTGTAAAGCTTAAGAGAAAAGAAAACTTCCAAGACAGTTGGTGAATGGGTCTTTAAAACAAACTAACCTCCAGATACTGCTGCACTGATGCCACTGTCTGGCATCCTGACTAATGTTGTCTCATTGTTTCCATGTACTCCTGTCAGTCTGTCTGTAGCCATCAGTTGTCTCTTGTCCTATACTTGGATTGTCAGCTCTTGGGGGCAGAGACTGTCTTTGTCCCGTGTTTCTACAGCGCCTAGTACAATGTGGTCCTGGTCTCAGGGTTAGTCTGCAGGCTCAAATGATCAAGAACATAAGAACAGCCAGTGGTCCATCTAGCCTATGATCCTGTCTTCTGACAGTGGCCAGTGCCAGATGCTTCAGAGGGAGTGAACAGAACAGGTAATCGTCAAGTGATCCATCCCCTGTTGTCCACTCCCAGCTTCTGGCAAACAGAGGCTCAGGGACACCCAGAGCATGGGGGTTGCATCCCTCACCATCTTGGCTAATAGCCATTGATGGACTGAACCTCCAGCAAGCCAAGCAGACTCTGACATTTTTCACTGTTGCTAATGAATCAATACCCCAGCAGGGCATTGGGGCACTGTGTCCCCAAAGCTTCTGTTTAATGGCTTTGCTTTCAGATAAGAGAAAAACTGGGTACCTGGTTGTCAGTGGTCGTTCAGTGTTCCATGCCCCTTCATGCATGAATGGGTGCTAACTGTGGAGTCCTGGCCTAATTCCAATTGGGTTCATTAACATCCTGCCAGGCGAGAGTTCCTGGAAAGGCTGTTGCATTCCTCCCCAGAGTGGGCAGGTTTCACTAGTGCAGGGTGTGAAGTTTGCAAAGTGCATGAAAGGAATTACATAAATGGAGGTTATTATATGATCCAAACGCTTTGTGCAAAGAACATTGAGGTCACAGAGTAAAACACTCAAAATCATGAGACTGCTGCCACCCTATAGACTATGCGATATAAATACACAAATGTTAATTACTATTATTCTTATTTATTGTGCCTGAGGGCCGCTGCTGTAGCTAAGATGTTTCCTTCTTCAGACCTCCTATTTAAAGATGACATGAGCAGCCAGACTTAGCCCTCCGTTCAGCACTGTACTTAAGCACATTTGATTCCAGTTGCTTTCGTCTCTCTGGAATGCTGCTGGTGAATCTGGCCCCAAATATTTTTTCACTCTCCAGCCGGCTACATCACATATGGCCCCTGCTGAGGCTCAGTCTCTCTGTCTGTTTTGGAGGTGGACAGGAAAAAAAGGCTTTTCAAAGAAAGTGATCTGCTTCATTTTTCCAAAGTAAGTGAAGACTCCCATTCCGTGCAGTCAGCAGACTCTGGGTTAGTGCCTTGCTGTCAGGCTTTAATCTGGAAGCTGTCTCCCTCCCTGGCTGTCTTTTCTTTCACATCAGATTACACCTGGGGACCCACTGGAGCATGAGGAGTACAGTTCATCTGCTGATCCAGGCTTGTTTTTAAAGAACAGAATTCACCCAACAAAAACAATGTGAAAGTACAGGCCTACTAGAACTACTGCAGTGTTAGCAACAGTGGGAAATTTCCCAGACAGGTATTTGCAAGGTGCCATTAGCCTTCGTATATAAGTTCCCGGGCAAAGTTTGAACCCAATGCCTGCAGTAAAGGTGTGTGACCACATCCTGGATGGCATAAATTGGCATCATTTTGTGGATTTCAGTGTAGCGACCCAATCTGTACCAGATGAGGGTCTGGCCTAATATCCCAGCAGAGTCAAAACCTGCACAAAATGGATTATACTTGTCACAGCCTCTATATAGACACACTCTAATAGCCATTCCTGGGTATAGTAACCCTCCTCATACAGCAAAGCTGATTGGTGAAACAATCTGACTTAATATGCCATATAGGCACCAACTCTGTGGGTGCTCTGGGGCTGGAGCACCCACAGGAAAAAAATAGTGAGTGCTCAGCACCCACCAATCAGCTCCTTTCCTCCCTCAGCACCTCCCGCCTGCCAGTGATCAGCTGTTCAGCGGTGTGCAGGAGGCATGGGGTTGGAGGGGGAGGAACGGGGGCAGCAAGAGGCAAAGCGAGGGTGGGGTGCGCTCGGGGGGGGGGGGGTGGAATGGGAAGGGAAGAGGCGGGGTGGGTTTGGAGGGGCGGAACCCTGGGGAAAGGGGTGGAGTGGGGGAGGGGCCTGGGGTGGAGCGGGAGTCAAGCACCCCTGGGGAAACCACAAAGTTCGCGCCTCTGATAAGCCATGTCTCTTATCAATGAGAAAATGTCCCTTTCATGATGTGGAGTGTAAAAAGAAGACATTACAGACCCGCTGGGGGTAACAGTACATCGGGTTGGAACTGGTTGGACAAAATTTTTTAGTTGGAGGAAAGAATTTCCTGTTTTTCCTGATCCGTAGTGTTCTGGGATGAAAAACTCAGCTGGGAATCAGGCGGTGCAGGGACTTGAACTGCGTGTTCCACATACACGGACCTTCCAGACCTGCAAAGCTCCAGTTATGATCCAAAAATATTTTGATGCAAGTTTGTTTTCGCAAAAACATTCTGGTTTCATACCAGTGCAGAACCAAACCAAATTTAAAAGCAAGTGTTGCTGTCACAAGAAATTGTCATCCTCTGGTTGGCTCTAGTTAAAGCTATAAACAGCATGGGAATGAAAGCCTAGGTCCCATAATCAATAACAGTTATTACATCTCTCCATAATCAGATTAATAATGCAGCCTAAATGAATTAACAGACATGAATGTGCAAGGAATTTGTTACACTTTTGTAGCAATTTCCTTATGCCAGTTCATAAAAATTACCAAGAAATTTGTAGCCGTTATGTTCAGATTTCCATCAAAACATTTAAGATGCAAATTTTCAAAAGTGCCTGAAATTTCAGGTGCCCCAGCTGAGTTACTGAAGGTGCGTGCTCAAAAATTAAGATTCCAAATTAGTGAACAGCGCTAAGTAGGCCATAGCAATTTGATCTGGGCTGTTAAAAATGGAATAAAACATATGCCCAAGAAAAGCCCACCACAAGGATTTTGGTTAAAAAAAATCACTCAAAGAGGTCTGAATGTTAAGGATCAAATTCTGCTTTTGATTAATCTGGTGTGAATCAGTGTAGTTATTGCTATGAGGGTAAGTGAGAGGAAAATTCGGGTCTAATTCTGAGCTCAGTTACAGCAGTGGAAATCAAGAGTGACTCCCCTGAAATCAGTGGAGTTACATAGGCACAGGGGAAAGTGAGAAGGGAAATATTCATTTTTCTCCTTGCAGAGTTTAATGAAACTCAGCACTATCCTAATGCTCCCTGTGGGAATCACCCCACACACACACACACACACACGCACTCCTCTCCCCTTCCACACAACAGGGCATAATGTGGCATGTTCCATCATTAAAGTGCTCTAGACATGTGACCACTCATGGCACCTCGGGGAGATGGTCCTTATGATCCCTGATGGATAAGCTGGACCACAGAAATCTTAACTGACTTGCCAGAGGTCCCACAGGCAGTTTTCCATCTGAGCTGGAAGTAAGTCCCAGAGGTCCTGACACCTGTTTTCTCACTGACCATCAGAGCAGGCTGTCTCCTCCAAGGGATTTGGACAGGAGAACTTCTCAAGAAGCCCAGCACTGTGTGACCCTCAATCACGCATCAGTTCACTCTTTATCTGAGGGCACACCTGAGGAGGAGGTGTGCCATGGATGGAGGGCTGTTTGCACCACTTACTGCATATTTCCTATTGGCATTCTCCCAAGGGCACAGCTACCTATGCTAGGCTAAAGGACATCATAGTAATGCCTTCTGCACTAGATCTGCGTTCACAGGTGCTGTATGGTCACTTGATGATAGTGGAAAGATAGACTTGCTTAGACAGAGCTGTTGCGTTGTGAGCTTCTCTTGCAGCCTCTCCCCATCCCCCAACCTGAGATAAGGTACCACAACTATGATGGAAACAGAGTGCTCGGGAAATCCTAAGCCATCAAGGTAGGCCTCAGAGCCACATTACCAAATAATTCCAGTGTTGTGGGAGAAGTTTTATAATAACCTAAATACCAGCAAAATTGTTTCCAGAGGACATATGCTTTAGGTTTCTGGAAGGATGTTTATAATAAGCTAGAGAATTTCTTTTGTTGTTAATATGCTAGAATTGGTTGCAGTTGAATTTTACAAAAGAATTAAAGAAACGAATATGGTAACCTGCGTAAAATATGGACATAATCTCAATTGAAAATTAAAAAACCCCAAAAACATAATAATGCATTCAAATCCACAGCCCTGCAAAAAGCCTTTTAAAAAACTTTTCTCAAGTCATATTGCTCTTCTTTTATCTGGAATAAAAACTATATGGTCCCCTTGATGCTTATGCCTTCCCCTTGC